GAAAGACAAAACAAGACTCAGGATGAGGGGTTGGAAAACAATATTTCAGGCAAATGGAAATCAGAAGAAAGGAGGGGTCACAATCTTATTGTCAACACAAGTGGATTTAAAGCAACTTAAGGAAAGCAAAGATGGTCACTTCACACTGATCAATGGAACAATACAACAAGAGGAAATTTCGATTCTAAATATTTATGCACTAAACTTAAATGCTCCCAGATTTATTAAACACACATTAATTGATCTAGCAATATGATATCTTGTAACCCCATAATAGCTGGGGACTTTAACATCCCTCTGGCAGAACTAGACAAATGCTCTAAGCAGAAACTAAACAAAGATACAAGGAACTTAAAAGCTACTCTAGAACAAATGGGCTTAATAGACATATCCATAATGCACCATCCCAAAGCTAAGAAAAAGCTAAATTCATGTTGACAGCCCATAGAAGTTGAATTTTGTACTCCAAAATATAGACCATATCCTAGCATACAAATCAACACAATGAAAATAATTGAAATTATACCTTGTATCTCTTCAGACCAAAAGAATAAAGGAAAAATTCAACTCCAACAAAATTCTTTATCCCCACACTAAGGCAAGGAATCTAAAGAACCTTACACATAATGACAGTTGGGACAAAGAAGAGATAAGGGAAGAAATCGTTATATTCCTCAAACATAACAACAATGAAGTGACAAGTTACCAAAATGTTTGGGATACTGCAAAATCAGTCCTACAAGGCAAATTTATTGCATTGGATGCCTATATCCAAAAAAAAAAAAAAACAGAGAGAGAACATGTCAGTAACCTAATGAATCATCTTAAAAAAATGGAAAAGGAGGATAAGTCTCAAATCTAGCAGAAAAAAAAGAAATAACCAAAATTAAATCAGAAATAAATAAAACTGAGAACAAAAGAATCATTCAATAAATTAATGAAACAAAAAGTTGGTTCTTCAAAAAGATAAATAAAATTGGTAAATATTTGGGCAGATTAACTAGAAACAGAAAAGCAAAATTTAATAATCTCAAGCAGTAATGAAAATAAGGAAATAACAATAGACACCACAGAGATACAAGAGATTATCCCTGACTACTATAAGTAACTCTTTACCTAGAAATTTGGCAATGAGTAGAAAATAGACTAATACTTGGAATCATACTATTTCCCTAGACTTAACCAGAAGAAATGTATCTCTTGAACAAACCAATATCAAGCATTAAAATTGAAGAAACAATAAAAAGGCTTCCAACAACAAAAAAAATAAATCCCTGTACCAGATGGCTTCACACCAGAATTCTATCAAACCTTCAAAGAAAAGCTTTTACCAATACTGCAGAACCTATTCCAAAACATTGAGAAGGAAGGAACCTTTCCCAACATAATGTATCAAGCAAACATCAATCTGATAACCAAAACCAAGAAAGGACCCAACTAAAAAGGAGAACAATAGACCAATTTCACTAATGAGTATCAACACAAATGTACTCAATGAAATCTTAGCTAATATACTACACCTACACATTAAAAATTGTACATCATGATCAAGTAGTATTAGCCTCCCTTGTCCCAGGGATGCAAGACTGATTTAACTTATGCAAATCCATAAATGTAATTCACCATATCAACAGAAGGAAAAACAAAGGCCGTGTCATCCCTCAATAGACACAGAAAAAGCATTTGATAAAGTTCAGCATCCTTTTCTAACAAGAACACTTAATAATACAGGCATAGGTGGCACATTTCTTAAACTGATCAAAGCTATATTGACAAACCCACAGCTAATATCATGAATGGAGTAAAACTGAAATCTTTTTCACTTAGAACTGGAAACAGACAAGGATGCTCGCTACTGCCACTAATATTCAACATAGAGCTGGATGTTCTAGCCAATGCCATCAGGCAACAGGGGGCAGAGTAGGTCAAACTCTCACTCTTTGCCAATGATATGATCTTAGAGAACAAAAGACTCAACCACAAGATTCCTGAAAGTGATAAAAAACACTTATACCTCAGGATATAAAATCAATGTCCATAATGTCCATAATCAGTAGCCTTTATATATGTCAATAATAGCCATGTTGAGAAGGAAATCAAAGACACAATACACTTCATGATACCTTCAATGAAAATAAAATAGCCAGGAATATACCAAACAAAAGAGGTGAAGAACCTCTACAAAGAGAACCCTACGAAAAGAAATAGCAGAAGACATTAACAAATGGAAGAACATACCATGCTCTTGGCTGGGAAGAATCAACTTTATTAGTATGTCTATACTACCCAAAGCAATCTACAGATTCATTGCAATCCTGATTAAAATACCAACAACATACTTTGAAGAACTGATGAAAATAGTTCTTTGCTTTGTATTTAACCAGAAAAAAAGCCCGTATACCCAAGGCAATTCTAAGTAATTAAAACAAAGCCAGACACATAATTCTACCAAGTGGCATTATATTCCAAGTCTATAGTAGTGAAAATAGCATGATATTAGCACAAAAATAGAGACATAGACATATAGAACCAAATAGAAAACCAAGAGATGAAACCAGTCACTTATTACCATCTGATCTTTGATAAACCAAAGAAAAGTATCTACTAAAGAAAATAATGTCCCCCCTAACAAAAAAAGAAAAAGAAAAGAATGCCCATTAAATAAATGCTGCTGGGAGAACTGGATAACCCACACTTTTCACCACTTACAAAAATTGATTCAATATGGATACAAGATTTAAATACAGGATGGTCATAAAGTTTGTTTTCAATTTAAATAGACAAGTATTTTAAATTACACATGAACTTTATGGCCACCCTGTGTAAGACATGAAATTATACAAATCTTAGAAGAAAGTGTGGGAAAAACTCGTCATGATGTTGGACTTGAGAAAGATTTTATGAAGACGATAACAGTGGCAATCACTACAACAAAAATAAACAAATGGGACTTAAACTAAAAAGCTGTTGCACAGCTAAGTACACAACAATTAAAGCAAAGAGACAACCTTCAGAATGGGAAAAGACATTTGTGTGTTACAAATCTGACAAAGGGTTGATAACTAGAATCCACAGAGAATCAAATTAATCAACAAGAAAAAGCAAACAGTCCCACTATCATTGGGCAGGAGACATGAACAGAACCTTCTCAGAGGAAGACAAATGAATGACTAACAAACATGAAGAAATGCTCATTGCCCCTGATCATCAGAGAAATGCAAATCAAAACCACCCTAAGATATTACCTAACCCTAGTGAGAATAACCCACATCACAAAGTCCCAAAGCTGCAGATGCTAGTGTGCATGTTAAGAGAAGGCAACACTTTTATACTTAGTGTGAATGCAAACTATTACAGACTCTTTGGAAAGAAATATGGAGAATCCTCAAGAATTCAAACTGGACCTCCCATTTGATCCTGCAATCCCACTACTACACATCTTCCCTGAAGAAATAAATATTATCAAAAGGAAATTTGCATTAGATTATCATAGCTCAATTTACAATTGCCAAGAAGTGTAAAAAATTAAATGCTCACCAACCCAGGAATAGATTAACAAACTTTGCTCCATGGAATACCATTCAGTCACAGAAAAGGAGACTTTATATCTTTTGTATTAATGTATCTGGATTTGAAGTACATCCTTCTTATTAAAGTATCACAAGAATAGAAAAACAGTTATCAATGTATTTGATAGTAATATGAAGCCAGTAGAGGATCTAATACATGCCCACATAGGAGAAAAACTCAATTCAATTCACAGTGGGGGAGGGAGAAGAAGAGAGGAGGAGGAAGGGAGGACGGTAGAGGATTGATGTGCTCCCACTTAATGGACACAATACAAGAGTATATGGCAAACTTCTTGTGTGCAGGACACAACTACAAGAGGGATTGTATCTAACAAATGCAAACATTGTAACCTAGTTGTTTGTACTCTCACATTAACCTGAAATAAAAAGTAAAAAGACCTACTAAACAGATTTCAGTGGTTAACCTCAACAATCTGTGTTTTGGTGAGCCTTCTGGGTGGTCCCAGTGCATGCTGACATTTGAAAGCTACTTTACTAAATTGTTCAGGTCTCAGTTGAGATATCACCTGTTCTAGAAAGCCTTTCTTGACTATCCAACATTACATCATGTACCCTTTTCTACATATTTCTATCACACGATGAGAAATCCAATTTAAACTATGTCACACTACATTGTAATTGCAAATTTACTTGTCTCTATCAGAATAGCCCCAGTTCTCTAAGGGTAGGAACAAGTATTTGGCACTTCATGTGTAGCTTCTAAAGTTGTTTGTGCCATGCAGTAGGCCTCCAGTAAGTATGTATTCAGTAAATAATTTTTTGCTTCTTTTGGGGAGTCTCACTTTGTCTCCCCAGGTAATGTGCTATGACACCACTGAAGTGTTAAACTCCTGAACCCAAGTGATCCTCTTACCTCAGCCTTCCAAGTAGCTAGGACTAAAGTCATATGCCACCAGGCCCAGATAATTTTTGGTAAAGACAGAGTGTCACTCTTTCTCAGACTTGTCTTGAACCCCTGATCTCAACTTGTTCTCCTACCTTGACCTTCCAGTGTGCTAGGATTAAAGATTTGGAGCGCCCCACCTGGCTTTTAATGAATACATTAATAGAAGAGAACATAGCCAAGCTATGATTACTTTACACTTGGTATTAGAAACTCAGTATGTAAATGGGATTAGAATTCAGTTTGCACTAAGACAAGAATATTGTCTATGGTGGTGGTTAAAAATCTTTCTGAGGTCTGAGCCAGGACACCTTCTAGCCAAGATTAGGAGCTCAGACTATAGCCAAGGGTATGCTCTTAAACATCTGAAACAGGAATATTAGCCATAGCCTATTCTAGGATTAAGAAAATGAGTAGTTAATAGAGACAAACTCAGGCTATAGCTTATTTTTTTAAAGGAATAAGCCAGAAGACTAAAGCACAGATGCTGCATATCTCTCATTCTTTTACTAAGTGTCCTTACTCACCAGGCTCAGCAGGTAGTGGCCAACCAGTATTAAATTCTAGCACACCATGGGCATGCACAGAGTAGGGACGGCTGGCATTATTCTTGAACACCACAGTAAGGATATCACCAACTTCTCCTCTGATAAGTGGACCTAATACAAGCGAAAAAAGTAAAAGTTACATTAGTGGATGAGTAGAACAGGTGGCATTGAAGAAAGGGACATACATGGTAACCCCCCAGTATTAGGAATTTGCCCTGAGAACTAACAATGTGGAGATTAAAAGTCATGACTGGCTCCATTTTTAGATTTAGAAGACCTTACAGTGACATTGCTACACACAGAATGAAAGTACTTCATCAACAGTATTATTTATTCAATTACTCCTACTCTTTCCATCTCAACCCTCTATAACAGCCCAAGGCTTTAGAGCAGTGATTCTCAACCTTCTTAATGCCGTGGTCCTTTACCATAGTTCCTGTGGGTCATGACAGGAACCGCTGCTCTAGATAATCAAGTCTCTCTGGAATCATTGATGATGAGAATGTGACACAGAATACAGAATAGCAGCTGGGATCTCTACAGGGGTCAATCAATCCCTTATGTTCCAGGATGAGAAAGAAGACACCTATTGGCCCCTACAAAGGTTAAAAAAAAAAAAAAAGAAAACTATAGCAATATCCTAAAAACAAAAGCTCCAGCAGTAATTAAACAGGGATACAGGGGCAAAACTGGTTCCTTGTTTCATTCTTTTTCTACTTTTTTATTCTCCTAAGTTCTTCTTCCTCTAGTATCTGTCAAAATCTACCACACTGAGAGGCCTCCATACCTGAAAGGTATAAAAATCTAGAAAAACCTGGTTTAAGTTGCAGCAAAGTTTATGATTCACTTCTTCTCCCTTCAGTATTCCTTTTCATGGCTATTTTATAAAAAAAAATGAGCATGACCACAATTCCAGAATATCCTAAGATTGAGAATGGGGAATGGGGAATCCTTCATAATATGACATACCTGCCTTAGGAACAGCTCTGGCTGCTCAATAGTAGGAGGAAAGTGGGATTCTCTTACCCAGGATTCCCAAGTGTTCTTCAGGTCCATTCCTTAGCTGAGGGATTCTGAATGTACCATCAGTGTATTCCCTGAATACAGCTTTCTTGTATCTGGAACCCAGGAACCCATCCTCATTGTTCAGGAAAATGTGACCATAACTAGAATAATCCAAAGAGTGGTATCAGCACTTTACACTCAACCCCTTATCTTCAGATATGGAGAAGCTAAGTCAGAACCACACTCATTTTTCAAATAAAGAAGAGGACCTAGTCTTTCTATTGCCAGACTACAGGTTTTAGTATCTACTTATGTTGCTTGTTTGCCATGACCCAGATATGAATTTGTTGTACAATTAATATGGTAAGAGCACTGGGCTAAGAATCAGAAGCCCTGGAATCCAGAACCAGGCTTAATTATGTCTCTTATGGAATTAGTTTGACAAAAAGACAAAGTACGAGGTGGCAGAAAAGGTATTAACTTCTGCTGCAGCCAGAAGGCAACAAATAGTGACACATATGGAGTAAATAGAATCTTACAAATTTCTTCTTATAGGATACTTTCCAATTTACAAACAGGTTTATAATGCACGTTATTCGACATTTCCAATCTATGAGGTAGGTAGGTAGGTCCCAGAAGTGCAAGCAGTAGCCCAGAGGTATCAGGACTTATTGACAGCAACACATCCAGCCAGAAAGGGAACCAGGACTTAGATTCAAGCCCACTGCTCCATCACTCCCTCCTCTCTCTTCTTGTTTTTCAACTGTACCAGATCACTTTAAAGATGAGCAAACTCAGGCTTAGAGAGAGGAAGTCATTTTCCCTAATTTTCAAAGAAAGTTAGCAGGAAGACTTCATCTTTTAACAATCAATATAAAGAGCAAGAAATGGCAAAAGTCAGTAAGAGCACTAAAAACAAACTAGTGCAAAACTACGAATTTGTACCTCAAATTAGTTTGAATTTTCTCCTCATTTCTCTTTAGTAATGGAATCACCTAAGTTTTAGCTAAGCACATGGCTATCCAACCAGAGATTATATTTCCTAGATTTCTTTGCAACTAAGCATAATCATGTAAGTGTGGGATAATAAGGTATGAAAAAAAAATGATGTATGTAACTCCCGAGTCACTCCTCACAGACAATCAATCTTATCCTGAACTTCTTTCTGCCTGCCTGATAGCTTAACATGGCTACAACAGTAATAGGCATCTTGGTCCCAGAGATAAAAAGTAATTATTTGAGGATGACACCGTTTGCCTACCAGCCCTTTATTATACTCATATCTGTACTATTATATGAATAACCAATAAAATTTCATCTTATTTAAACTATGTTGTTTTGGGCTTTATCTGCTACATATTTTAGTCTATACCTTAACGAATGCAATGCCATTTTGTTAAGGGAAAGATGATCTTGGGGCATTTGGTTCTTTGTGTAAGTTCTTCATGAAATTTAAGCCCCAGGGAAGGTACCATATTTGCCAGTATACCATAATGCATACTTCTTTGTCCAAATTTTTGAGAGGAAAATAAGGATATACATTGCGTATCAGTAGTACAGCTTGGGAGCAGGAATCCCATGACTTCCAAGCTGCTGCACCCAACAACCTGGGCCTGCTGAGTGTATGGAATTTCAGTCCAGGAGAACGCAGAATTTGATGGAAGTGGGTGAGAGTTGGTTCTGCTGAGTGCCGTATCAGGGAATAGGGTGGTAGTAGGGCTGGTGAGGGAGGCTGCAGCCATGTAGGGTAAGGGCCAAAACCCATCCATGCAAAGGGGATCAGGAACCCCTGGTAGACCCCAGGGACTCGCCTGGCTAACTGCAGGGCTAAGTGGCCACAGAAGCTACCACCCTGCCAACCAGCCACACATACACATGGCCATTGCCACCAAGGCAGGGAGAAGGGATCCTGGGAGACAGGGAAGGAGTAGCCTTCACAGAGTGGGCAGATGCAAGAAAGCAGTGTCATCTGTAGATTTACCAGGAAAGCATTAGCTTTCCCCAAATGTGTCTCCTAGCCGAGAACCAGCCACTTTCTTGAAGGATGTTTTCCTGAAAGTTTGGGCCAAAAATGTGGGTTCATATTACATGTATGAGTGCATTATACATAGAAAAATATGGTACTTCCAACTAATTTGAGGAAGAGAGGCAAAGATGAAGGTGTGCACAAGGTCATTTACTTTAGCCCCACACTATACCAATATAGGAGAAGTGCTGAGATGGAATTCAGAAGAACTGTATTCTAGTTCCTGATCCCAGGTCTGTTGGTATCATATTAGGTGATCTTAGATGAGTTCCTCCTCATTTAAGAGTTTCAGTATCTTCATCTGTAAAATGATTTTCTGAAAGTAGGACCTCTCTTTTTCTGAAGACGTACCTGTCCTTCTCAGACTGGTTATGCCACTCCAATTCCCAGCTCCTATCAGGACAATAGTCCCACTCCACCTCTTCTGCCATGATGTAGTAGATTCTTGCAGCTTGGTAGTGTTGTTGAGGAGTGGCATGGTGGCCAGGACACTGGGACACATTATAAATTGCCTTCATCCCTGCTTCTCGATGGTTGCCTGCCTGGCAATAAATCTCAAATGTCCCTGAGGGAGGACCAGAGAGCAAAACTTGAGTCAAAACATCCCTGGACAGGGCCTGGGGGGATTTCTTGCCTCTCCCTATGCATACTGCAGAGAGTGAGTAGTCTCAGATAAGGGACTAGAATAAAAAGAATATTACAAGTTTAATGAGACTATCGAACACAAACATTAAGAACTCCAACTTCAAAGATACACGGTTTAAAATAATCTACTATATATTTCAAAATAGCTAGGTGAGGATAATTTGAGTGGTTCTTACATAAACAAAAGACAAATACTTAAGGTAGTAGATATCCTAAGTACACTGATTTGATCTTTACAAGTTATATGAATTTATTAAATTATCACATACCCTGAAACCCTGTATATGTACAGTACATCAATGGATTAACTAGCTCTGCTATATGTACACCATGGAATACTATTCATCCATGAAAAATATGGAGATATTACATCTTTTGTATTAACCTGGGTCAAGTTGGAACACATTCTTCTTAGTAAAGTATCACAAGAATGGAGAAACAGGAATCCGATGTACTCAATTCTAATATGAAGCTGCCAGATGATCTAATACATACCCACATAAAAGAAAAACTCAAATCAATTCAAGGTGCAGGCAGGGGAGCTGGGAGAAGGGTATAGGGAGGGGGATGGAGGGTTACAGTGTATGGAACACCTCTTGGGGGTGGGACACAACTATACAGGGAGGGGACTCTACCTAACAAATGCAAACAGTGTATCCTAATTCTTTGTACCCTCAATGAACCTGAACCAATACATAAAAAAAAAAAAATTAAACTCTGCTACTAGAATGATCAACTCTTTCTTCTTTGCCTTAGCACCGTAAGTCCCATATCCCAGGGAACTCCTTAATAAGGGGCAAAGTGAGATGGTTGGTAATTCTATTTGTCAGTTGTTAGCTATACGTACAAAACTTTGTGGTAGTTTCTAAACCTCTGTATGTTTCAGTATCCTCATCGATAAGATGAGTGCTATTTTACTTACTTCATTTGGTTGTTTTAAAATTAATCACAATATGTGTGTATTATGTTTAGCACAAGATATAGTAAATGTTCAATAAGTATAGCTATAAATAAGTAAATAAAGATTTAATAATTATTCCAAAAAAAGAAGTGACCACTCATGTCTCTTTTTTACCAAGTATAAAATAAATATAGGTTGGATTAAATAGTTTTTAAAAATAAAAAAGAACTTCTTAATGTAATATCTGACATCATAAAAATTCTAGAAGAAAACAGGGAAAACTCTTCTGGACATTGGCCTAGGCAAAGAATTTATGAAAAAGACTCCAAAAACAAATACAACAAAAACAAGAACAAAAATAAATAAATAAAATATTGACTGAAAAGTTTCCACACAGAAACAAAGAAATAATCAACACAGTAAATAGAAAACCTACAGAATGGGAGAAAATATTTTCAAACTACTTCTGACAAAGGACTAATATCTAGAATTTATTAGTAACTCAAATCAGCAAGAGTGATTATTTGTCAAGACTTGCAAAATCAAAAAAAAAAAAAAAAAAAAAAAAGACTTGCAAAATCAAGTCTTGGATTGAAGGGATCACCTCTATGGTTGGTCTTACAAGGTTACAAGTGAATCTTTCTAAAAGTAGAGTATAAATGTCTTAACATAATAACCAAGAAAATTGACATAAAGTCTATATTAACCAGTTTGATGAAAATATTTCAAATTGTATATGAAAACACCACACTGTACCCCATGATTGCATTAATGTACACAGCTATCATTTAATAAAAAAAAAATAAAAATAAAAAAATAAAAGTAGGCAAAAGACATGACTAGGCATTTTTGAAAGATAGTATACAAATGTTCAACACACTTACAAAATTGTAAATTATTAATAAAACCACAATGACATACCACCTCACCCCTGTCAGAATGGCCATTATTAAAAAGTCAAAACAACAAATTTTGTCATGGAGGTAGTGAAAAGGAAATGCTTATATACTGTTGGTGGGAATATAATTAGTAAAACATCTATGGAAAATAATTTCTCAAAGAACTCAAAGTATATCTACCATTCAATCCATTGATCCTACTTCTGGGGATCCACCCAGGCAAAGAAGCCATTTTAGAAATAAAGACAACTGCACTTATATATTTATCTTAGCATAATTCACAACTGCGTAACTATGGAACCAAGCCAACATAAGTGTTCACCAACCAAACACTAAAGAACATGTGTACACACACACACACACATACACATATGTGTGTGTGTGTATATATATATATATATACATTTTATATATATAATGGAATACTATTCAGCTATTCAAAGGAATAAAATAATTTTTTGAGCAACATTAATCAAAGGGAAGTAGCCCAGGAATAAAAAAAACAAAAGCAAACAAACGAAAAACAAAATAGTGCATGTTCTCACTTAGTGGGAACTAAGCAGTAGGTATATATGGAAACACAGAGTGGCTTGGTGGATATTAGAGGCTCAGAAGGGGTAAGATGGGAGGGATATGTGGTATGAAAAATTACCTATTGAATACAAACTATTCAGGTAACAGTATATTAAAAGCCTTTACTTCCCCACTATATAATAATGAGGACCTACTTGTACTATTACTTGATCACAAGGATGCTTACATAAGAGCATTGGAAATGACTTTGTTCATTTCTTTACATTTGAAAGTTCAGATATAAGTCTTGAATATCTGTGCTATAGAGCTGCCTGGACTAGATTTCAAGCTCCAGATGTCTATGACAAGGATCAAAATATGTTGATCAAAAGAAACTAACCTTAAAACATTACTCTCATTGTCCCCATACTTTGCTTCCTACTGCCTACTCTGGTATTCATATTCCTGGCTTTCAAACCCTTTCATTAGCTGGGCACAAACTCAGTCCCATTTCCCATACATTGTCTTAGACTCAATCAGGGTTCCAACTAAATCTACCTCTGACTGTTTCTCTCAAATATCTCATTTCTAGGGTGGCGCCTGTGGCTCAAAGGAGTAGGGCGCCAGCCCCATATGCTGGAGGTGGTGGGTTCAAACCCAGCCCTGGCCAAAAAGAAAAAAAAAAAACTGCAAAAAAATATCATTTCTACCTTAGCATTTTTACACATGATGTTATCCTCTATCGGGAAGGCACACACCCACCCCAACCCCATATATATTGAGAACTCATTTATTATCCAAGACCCAATTCATGCTTTTTCTCTTCCAAAAAACCTTCCCTGATGATTCTAGCCCAAAATGTCCTCTACATTCTTAGCCTCTCCACAACTAACATACTTTACCAAACCATGAGGTTAAAACTAAGTATTCCTCTCTTTTAAAATGGCCCCTTCTACTGGTTTATAGACACCTTGAAAGAAGAGGCCAACTCTTTTCTTTCCACATCTACTTCCTAACTCTTCCATTTCCCTTACCCTGTTACATCTATTTTATTAATAAATCCTATCAGCAATTTCTTCAAAATTAGTTTTTAATTTCCACTGACAGTTCTGCATTTCATGCCACCAGCAGCATCTCTTACTCAGAAAATTGCAATAGCTTCCCAGATGATTTAGGATGCTCTTTAGCAAATATAATCCAAAGCACATGTCTCCCTTGCTTTAAATATTCTACTTATGCCCATAATAAAATTATAACTCCTTACTATGGTCTACAAGGCCCTAGATAGTATGACTTTCACCAACCTGTATGGCATCATATCATGTCAGTCTTCTCCTGGGTCAAAACACTCCAAGCATACAAACTTTCTTTCTGATCCTTGAATAAGCCGTGCTTGTTGCTAACTTAGGGCACTAGAATGCTCTGCTCAGAGATGTTCATGTAACTCCTTTTCATTAATTAAATCTCCACTTAGATGTCACATTTTTAGAGAGACTTTCCGCGAAAATCTTGTCTAAAGTAATGCCCTCATTATTTTATCACATTTCTGTATTTTACGTCCTTCACAACATGTTTCACTATCTGAAATTATCTTATTTTATTTATGTGTTTATTGAAGACATCCTGAGAGAAAAATCACATCTGTCTTGTTTACCTCTATATCCATCTTTGTACACAAAAAGTATAAATATGCATTGAGTGAGGGGTCAGGGTCTGGTGTAGAAAAGAAAGTCTGATGATCACTTGAAGGGATGGGAACAAGTAGAAGATATTCTGAGTCATGTGAACTTAGGCTATTCCCATCATTTGAATTTTATTATATAGACAGTGTTGTCTAAACCACCTTTTTTTTTTTTGTCATGACAGAGTCTCACTTTGTCACCCTCAGTAGAGTGCCATGGCATCACAGCTCACAGGAACCTCCAGCTCTTGGGCTTAGGTGATTCTCTTGCCTCAGCCTCCCAAGTAGCCTAGACTACAGGCACCCACCACAATGCCAGGCTATATTTTTGTTATTGTTGTTGAAGTATGTCCGAGGCTGAGTTGGAACCCTCCACCCTCACTATATGGGGCTGGTGCCCTACTCACTAAGGCACAGGCGCCACCCCCACTTCTTTTTTAACATTATCTCTTTGACCAGTCCTTTGCTTTATTGTTATTCTGGCTTCTCCTCTCCTTCCTACCTCTTAAATGTTGATTTGTACCTTAAATGTTCTTTCCTATCACTCAGAGGTGTCCAGCTTTGTGGCTTCTCTGTAAGGCATTGGAAGAAAAGTTGCCTTGGGGTACACATTAAATACACAAACACTAATGAAAGCTGATGAGCTAAAAAAAAAAAAAAAAAAAGTGGTCTGTGCATAGTATTTTGTTATATCCACCAGGAAAGATAAGCAAAAATGTTACCACATAATCGTCATGCAGCCAATGGGCATGTTTATGAACTTGAACTATGAGAACATGCAAATGTCCTTCTTAGCCCAGGGCTTTTCATCCACGCTTTATATTTCTACCTGCAATCTACATATTGTGAAATCCCTACCACCTGGACTTCATCAGAAAGTTAAAACTTAAAATGCTCCTAAATGAATATTTTTATCCAAATCTTACCACACTTCCCCTGCTTCTATGCTTCCACACTTGCTCATTTGATTAATGGTACCATCATTCACCTAGAATACAAGCTAGAAACCTCAAGCATCTTTTCTCCTTGTTCAGCCCCTTCTCCGCCAAATATCTTTAAACTCAGTCCTTCTCTCTATCCTCACTGCCTCCACCCATTAGAAGGCTCTCATCATCCCTCTCAAAAACCTTCTGTTGTGCCTTCTTGGTTCTACTTCCTTTTGACTCAGGCCCGTTTTCCATACTCTTTGTAATAAACTTACAAAAATGAAAATCACATCCTGTAACTCATCAGCTTAATAAAAGAAACAAAATATTTTCTTCTCATCAACTAGAAGATAAAGTTTTAACTCCTTATCAAGACCTTTCCTCTTTTCCTAACTGGGTCTTTAACCATTTCCTACATCCCTTAAATACTACATCTTGGTGTTCCTCATTAGGAGTACAATTAGCCATTTGGGTGGGATTATTATTCATTATTTGAACTCTCCTACATATTGTAGAAAAGTTTCAGAATCTTTGAAATCTACCCTCTAAATATTAGCATCATCCTCGATACCTTCCCAGTCACTGGGACAACTAAAGTTTACAGATCTATCTCCCTTTCACATTAACTGCAGCTGCCTCATTGTGCCTCACATTCTCTAGCACCCAAACCAGCAAATGAAATAGAACAGATATTTGCTATGCCTTGTGAAAATTTAATAGAAAAAGAAAATAATAAGAAATTAGGGAGAAAAAAGGAGAAAAACAGAAAAATACAAGAGAGAAGAAAGGAAGTGTACAGAAAAAAGTAAAAGGAAAAAGAAGAAAATAAAATGAGAGGAAGGTAAAAAGTAAAGAAAGAAATATATTTTTAAAAGATAAAATAAGATAAAGAAACAGAAAGAAAGGAAGGAAGGAGTGGAAAGAAGGGAAGCAAAAAGAATGTTAAGACCATCAAGAAAAAGGAAAGAAAATAATGAAAAGAGAAAGAATGGAAGAAAAAATAAGGTCAAATAGGAAGAGAAGAAAGAAAAGAGAGAAAAAAAACTGAAGGAGAAAATGACAAGTAAGGAAAGATATAGGGCAAGATGGGAGACAAATGGATATAAGAAAAAGAAAGAATGAATAAAGAAAAGGAAGCAAAAGAAAGATGAGAGATATAAAAATAGAAAAACAAAGGAAAAAATATTAAAGAGGGAGGGGGAAATGGAAGAAAAGAGGAAAATAAAAAAGAAGTGGGAAGAGAAATAGGAGGTGGGAAATGGGGAAATATAGGACAATAATGAATAAAGAAAGAGTTTCAATAGTGAAAGAGAGGAAAGAAACCCTAACAAGAGGCACAGGAAGTTGTGGTTGCTTATGAGAAATCTAATATGAATTAGGTGTAAAATAACATGTTACAAGTTTTAACCTTTTTATCTATTACTTTGCCTGGCTAGTAAAGCTCTAGTATTAGTAGTTCTACTGGAAAACCTGAGGCTTATTATTATGCATGGTGATATTATAAATATGATAAGTAATTTTCTTTTAAATATAGTGCAATACTGGGAGGTGCCTGTAGCTCAAAGGAGTAAGGTATCAGCCCCATATACCGGAGGTGGCAGGTTCAAACCCAGCCCTGGCCAAAAACTGCAAAAAAGAAAAAAATGTGCAATACTATTAAATTTAGAGAAAATAATAAAAAGAGGAGATGATTAAAACATTACCAATAGACCTACACAACTCAAATTCTTAACATTTTGCTGAATTTTTTTCATAACCTTTTTTAAGTTTTTTATTTTATACTATATATAATATATATATATATAGTGCAATACTATTAAAATTTAGAGCAAATAATAAAAGATGAGATCATTAAAACATTACCAATAGACCTACACAACTCAAATTCTTAACACTTTGCTGAATTTTTTGCTGGGCATTTTCCCCATATTTTTAAAAATATGATCTTAACATCCAATACCTAAGACACTGAATCTCCATGGTGATATTTTCAAACCATCTGCAAAGCTGTTCATGCTTTAATTTGCTAACAACAACTCTCCCTGACCAAGAAAGTATCCTGGGTAGATTGGCAGAAATGAAGACCCATCTGCTAAGTTGCTCTAGCACATATGTATACTTACTATTCCCCATCACGACCCCTTCTATAGAATCTCAGAGCCAGACTCTGGTACTGACTCTTTCATTAATTCAGGTACCTTTGGTCTGTCTTTATGGAGGTAGTCACATAGATTTCTCTAAATATTAATCAAAGAGTAAGTCCCAGAGGCAGAATGGAGAGTTAAGATTCAAGAGATCATCTAGAAATAGACGGAGAGCCAAGGAAAATGCCCACTGATTGTCAAACTCAGGGATGGCTGAAATTATTAAACTGGTAAAAAGGTTTGTTTTAATATTTTTTTAACCAACTATGAATAAAATTTAGAGAACTGGCATGGAACTGACAAATTTTTCTTACAGACACTATTTCCTCCAACTAGCTAGAAAAAGAATACTACACCTTAGGGACTGTAAAGAAAAAAATAACTGCTGCACTATGAAATGTCAGAAAGAGATGACATCCCTTATGTTTACTTGGATGGAGTTGAAACACATTCTTCGTAGTAAAGAATCTCAAGAATGGAAAAAATACAATGGATCTATTACTAATATGAAACCAATATATAAACAATTACACAACTGCACAAAAGATATAAAACAAATATAGTCCAGCAAGAAGGAGGGGAGAGTAGGAAGAAGGAAGAGTGAAGGGGTGAGGGCAATTGGTGGTACCTCACCTAAAAGTGCAGGATGTGAGGGTGTTCAGCATGCTCCCTGAGTGAAGGGCTGTAGCAGAAATTTAACTTTACCTTAGAAGTGAGAACAATGTAACCTAAAAATATATGCCCTCATATTAATTTGAACTAAAAAAGAACATAAATTTCTCTTGTTGAAGCCAAATAAAAGTACAAAAATACAAGACTGTACAGAAATTCCTATCTTTCCCCTAGTCTTTTCAAAGCCAACAACAGCACTTTTCTCTGTTTTTGCCAAGTTAGCACCCTTAAAGTTTCATCAGGGAGGAGGAGGAATGTCGAATCAGAGACTCTACATGGATGACCTCAGTCAGAAGTGGATGCTGGAAACCTGTGGTACGAGACATTGAGTTTAGGACCTTGTCCTTCCCCAAACTATCTACTACAACTGACATCATCTTAGCTCCTCAAGTTATTCTAGCTGGGAAGTCATCAACTTCATGGAAGGCAAAAGGTCTTTTATTTACCTCCTCATGGTGTTTTTTTCCTAATAAAAGAACAAGTTGAAACAGAAAAAGAAAAAAAAAAAAAAACAGATGACATCTGAAGAAACATTCCAGTTAAATATCTTCATGAAAGAAAGAAAAAAGGGCAGGAGGGATGGATTGAGGGAAGGCACAAGGACAGAAGTAAGTATGGAAAGCAAGAAGAAAGGAAGCAAGGAAAGAAGAAATCTAGCTACAGAGAATATGAGTGATTAGATCAATGTTACAGAGCAAGTTAATGAAAGAGCCCACACCAATGCTCCTCTGTTCTGATTCCTGGGCTAAAACTGTTAGAGTACCACACACACACATACATACACATGCACACCCACAGGTGCACATGCACATAGACACCAGCAGTGATAAATTTTGCAGAAATCTTCACAGAATATGTGAGTTGAGAGTTCTCATAAGTACATTTCATCAACCTCCCTCCCAATATGAAGACTGTATCTATAAAGAACTGCCCTAAAGCTGAGTCGCATCCGCATTTCTCTTCTGTTCTTCCAGAAAATAGCTTCCTCAGTTTTCTATTCACTCTATTCTGCTTGCAGAAGAGGAGATAATCCAGATAAATATAACATGGAGAGCACGTTGAAAAGGGAAAAGACAAACATTTTAAAACGTCTTCAGAACTTTCAGTATACCTCTTCTTTTCTCCTTACCATTCCTCTCTCTTCTCCACTCCATCTCCAGTCCCATACCCAAGGAAGCCTCTGAGCTTAGGGCCACCTGCTAAGGTACTTACCAAGATTGTCAGGCTGCATAATAGCCATGACAAAGGTGTGAGGAAAAAGCGTGGTTGAGCCCTTCCTCATGCCTTGAAGCTGCACGGTGTTGCCCTCAAACATGACCCCGTGCACATCAGTCTCTGTGCCCAGGCCGAGCAGGTGCCAGGCCACTGTGTCACCCTTGCATATTTCCAGCCTGGGTAAGTTAGAGAACAGAAACCCATTAATGCCTGGAAAACAAAAACACAAGACAAGATGGGGAGATGAGACCAGACTACTCAAGCACCACCCAGAAGCATATCATCAGCTCTGTACTACGGTTTTATACAACTTGAATCTGCTGAGTCATCCTTAACCCCTCTGCCTTCTTTTCTAAGCTGCTTTAGACATGAAGACCTGTGTCTTTAGGATGAGAGCACAAATGGTCTTTCTGGCTTCACCTCCTAACCCTCCTCTGCCATGCTCCATATCCTTACAACACTGAACTACTGTTCATTATTATAACTTCTTTTCCTCCCCACATGCATACATGCATACCAACCTCTCCTACTTTCCAAGAAAGTATCCCTACTTTCTTGAAACTCTCCTCCCTTTGTTTCTGTGACACTTTCTGATTCTCTTACAAACTCTCTGATTGTTCTTTCATCTTGTTCTCATTCTCCACCCATCCATAAAATGAGATTCCCTAAAGCTCCATCCTCAGCTCTCAATCTGTCTCCTACTCTTCATCTTCACGATACTTCCCTTTTTCGGTACTGAACTGCAATAGCCTCCTCTCTTACCTGAAGTCCATTTTCCCACCCACTCTCTGTCACATACACCGTTATCCTATAAGCTTTATTTGTCTCCACATTTGCAAAGCTTAAAACATAGTATGTGCTTAGAAAACACCTGCTGATTTTTCACATAACCTGTTCTTCCTGGAATAAACTTCCCTGATAGTCTTTTTTTTTTTTTTTTTTTTTTTTTGTGGCCACATACTACCCATCCATCATATCCCAGCTCAAATATCACTTCTTTGGTGAAGTAGACTTATAGCTTCTCTTTGATTTTCACAAACTTTTACCCTAGAAATTCTACTGTAACACTTACCACAAAGTCTAATAATGTACTTACAAATCTTAGTTCCTGAACCAGATTACCCTAGCAGGAAGCATATCATTTTTTCTATAGCTACCTGACTGCTTGAACACCTAACACATTACTTGGTATTAATTATATGTTCAGTAAATTCAAACTAAAATGAACTTGGCTCATGAGACTGTGTCACTTTTTTTCTGAATAATGGAGCTAACAAGTGATGGGAACTGATACAGCCAAAATATAACATACTCATACTGTTTTCCTCCCACCTTCTACATTCTCCCATTACCACAAAATACAGGGAGATCTGCTTGAAGCTTGCCTCTTTTCAATGCCCTCACATCCACTGGAATCAACTTTAATGTTACCCTGTTTGATAAGCCCCTAGAATGCTTATGGAAACATTGCTAAGCCCTGATTCTGCTTCCCCTGACTAGTTACAAACCCTAGTCTTCAAGCCCAGTATTCAAGCCCTAGCTCAAGCACTCCCTTCTAAGAATCTTTTCATTTAATTGTTTCTCATTAATTTTCTCTTCCCCTTAACTCCTGAGTCTCTGAAAAGCTGTTCCACCCAATTCAGTAATAAATTATAATCTGTCTTGGATTGTTCTGTAATTTTTTTTCATGGCTACTATTAGTTTTATTTCATTGCAAATTGCTGGAAACTCTTTGAAAACTGAGACAATGTCTTCCCCTTCATTCATTTACCCACTCACTCACCAATTCTCCTGGGAGTTCACCAATTCAATAAACATTTACTATGTATTAGACAGCGTAGAAGATACAGAAATAAGCAACATACAATACTCATTTTTAAAGACACTGCAATATGGCAGAAATCAAAAGCCATGTAAAAAATAACTATAATATTGAGAAATGTATAGATCTTCCTATTAAAATAGTCTGATAAAAATACAATTGTAGGGTGGCACTGTAGCTCAAAGGAGTAGGCATCTAGCCCCATATGCTGGAGGTGGCTGGTTCAAATCCAGCCCTGGCCAAAAACAAAAAAAAAAAAAAAAAAAAAAAAAAAGAGAGAGAGAAAAGAAAAAGAAAGAAAAGGTGAAAATAAAAAAAAAAGTACACTTGTAATTCAAAAGAGGGTGTTATCATCCTGAGCATGGATGACGGAGAGTCGGAGAGTCGTATGGAGGAGGTAGCTTTTGAATAAGGCCCTAGACAATGGGTAGAATTACCACAGGCTGAGGACAAAGATATAAGGAATGGCATTTCAAGGAATAACACAAAATCATGAAATCAGCAAAGTACAAGGTATATTCACAGAAATAAAAATAACTGCAATTGGCTAGACTATGAGCTTGGGGGGCAAGAATAGTAGGAGCAAGGGGAGAGAAAGGTAAGTCTGGAATAATATCCCCCAGCTTACTCTTCACACTCTCTAGTAGATTCCTTATGTATGGTTTTCCTGTCAAAGTAATCTTTTCCAGTGCCCCACATACTGTGTAACATAGTACACAGCATAAAAAGGTACTAAGTATAAGATCTATTGTTGTAAGTGGAATCTCTCAATCTAGCTTGTCTCTTGGACTGAGTTATCAATGAAATCACGTTTTCAGAATTTCTAATAATTGTGATTGGGATTATGTTTTACTTGGGATGCCTCAGTTGTAGCTCAGGGCAAAAGTACTCCCCATACCATGCATCCGATTGGAGTCCTGGAAGCCCTCTAGATCCTCTGAGAGCAGTCGGAAATCCAACATAGCGGCCGCTTCGTTAGCTTTGCTGTACCAGCTTTTGTTCTCATCCAACACAGCAAAGAGGAGAAAGAATTCTTTATCCACCCCTTTCTGCAGGCCCAGTGGAATAAAGTAGAATGAGGAATAACAATGATTTTAATAGTTGTGGACTGTGTAGTCATAGATCCAAACATACCTGGTTCTTTCCAATTTCCTTTTCCAGACTCAGAGCTAAGCCCATACCTCCTGACCATTGCTGCTATTGTTACTAAGCAGTTTTTCCTTAGGTAAACACAAATTACAGATAGAAGGAAGAGTTCAGAATAAAATGACAAGACTGTAGGGAAGGAATTTATGAAAGGAAGTATAGAAGAAGTGGGGAATGTAAGAGATACCGAATATGATAGAGAGCTTGGAGTCACATGGGGAGAGGAGTAGAAGAAAGTGGCTAAAAGAGCAGGGAAGGGATCTAGAGGGAATTAAAAAATAAAAGTAATAATATTGATAATTGTTATCATTAAAGCTAATATTCATTGAGTGCTTACTGAGTGCTAAGCACTTTATATGGATTATTTTAATTAATCCTTACAGAAACCTAAGGTACCTTCTTCCATTGTCAACTCTTTGTTCACAGGTAAGAAAACCAACTCAGAGAGAGGCTAAGTAGATTGCCCAAGGTTACACAGTTAGAAATGGTGGGATGGGTACAAAAGTAGACAAGCAAATATTAAAACAGATTTAGGATCATGAACAAGGGTTAAGGGCCACTCAGTGATAAGAAAGAAAGAGAGAGAAAAAGAAATAAAGAGAGTGAAGAAAGGGGGAGGAGAAGAGAAAGAGAGCAGAAGGGAGGGAAGGGAGATTATGATAGGAGGACATGAACTATAAAGAAATAGAGATTAAGAAAAATGTATATGTAAATAAAAAAATAGCACAGAAGATAGCATGAAGTCAACAACTATCAATTTCTGGTGCAACAGCTTGACTATTTTTCTACTATTCCCTCACCTTTAGGACCCAATTCCATGCTTAACTCCTACCCAGCAACATAGCTTCATCTTCCTCCCAGAAGGCTTCCCAGCTAGACAACCTGGCACTACCTGTTTTCCATCTGCACCCAAAGCACCAGCTTTGCACACCAGCAGGGGGCCCACCAGGCCAGAATTTGTATCTCTTATGGGATCCGTGGCAGAAAAGTACATCCAGGTGAGACAAGCAGGATCCTGAGCAGTGGGACCAGCATGACTGGGGACTGTCCAGTGGTATGTTACTTTCTCAAAAGGCTTGGCCACCAAGCCAGGGTATGACAAGCCTGCAGGGAAAACATGAAACTTGGAGATTAGAGTTTGGTTTCTGGTTCTGCCATTATTTGCTATATAAACTAAGGCAATTCAATTTCCTCGTTTCAATTTTACAAAATCATAAAATAGCAGGACTAAAAGGGAAAGAACTTTAAAATTTATTTGGACTACCCTTCACTTAAAAAACACATTGATCTGCTCTTATTTCCCTATCTCTGATTAAAATTCTTCAGTGATGGGAGATTAAATATGTGCTATTATAGTCTACTTCATCTTTGAGCAACTCTGATTATTGACCACTTTTTTCTTTCTACATGTATAAATGTATGTGTGGGTGTGTATGTTATACGTGTGTGTGTGTGTGTGTGTGTGTGTGTATGCACTAAGGCTGTAATTTCTTTTTTTTTCTGAAACAGTCTCATTTTGTCACCCTCGGTAGAGTGCTGTGGCATCATAGCTCACAGCAACCTCTAACTCTTGGGCTCAAGAGATTATCTTGCCTCAGCCTCCCAAATAGCTGGGACTACAGGTGCCCACCACAACACCTGCTATTTTTAGAAGTGGAGTCTTATTCTTGCTCAGGCTAGTCTCGAACCTGTGAGCTCAGTACAATCCACTCACCTCAGCCTCCCAGTGTGCTAGGATTATAGGCGTGAGCCACTGCACCTGGCCTAGGCTATAATTTCTAAAATGGACACAGGACATGGTGAAGCAATGCACATAAATATATATATATTTTAATTTCCTAGCAATCAGTAATTGAACAAATGCAAATTAAATATCCAACTTTTATCTATCAAATTAACAAAAAATTTATATATTATAATAATCGGTGATGATGGTGAAGAGTGGTAGAGATATCATCTACCCCTTTCATCTTTAAAAATCATTAAGTATAAACAAGAATAACCCTTTAGGAAATAATGTTGACAAAATTTATCAAAAGCTATTTATTTTAAAAGTTCACATCCACAAATAAAGATATGAAATAAATACTGAAAAGAATGTTCAACCTGGGCAGCACCTGTGGCTCAGTGAATAGGGCGCTGGCCCCATATACCAAGCATGGTGGATTCAAACCTGACCCCTGCCAAACTACAACAAAAAATAGCCAGGTGTTATTGTGGGTGCCTGTAGTCCCAGCTACTTGGGAGGCTGAGGCAGGAGAATCGCTTAAGCCCAGGAGTTGGAGGTTGCTGTGAGCTGTGACTCCACAGCATTCTACCAAGGGCAATAAAGTGAGACTCTCTCTCTTAAAAAAAAAAAAAAAAAAAGAATGTTCAACCTAAAGTAATCAAATCTAAATCAAAACTACAGTGAGTTTTGTTGATGCTACTGTTTGCCTATAAGACAGTCATTTTGACAAGATCTACAAGTCTTGGTGAAGTTGTGGGAAAAGGGACTCTCACTGATTCAAATTCAAGTTGATAATACTACAATATCTTGAGAGGAACTGGAATATAGGTATCAAACATTTTAGGGCATGTAATCTCTGACACAGCAATTCCTTATCATTATTAATAGAGATGGGGTCTCACACCATTGTCTAGGCTGGAGTACAGTCACAGCTCACTGCAGCCTCAAACTCCTGGGCTCAGGTGATCCTTTTGCTTCAACATTCTGAGTAGCTAGGACTATAGGTATAAGCCAATGCACTCAGTAATTCCATATCTTAAAAATATATTCTGAAAGAATAATCATTAAAGTACACAAAGAAGCATATACAAGGATATATTTTATAATATTGTTTATAATAAGGTGGTTATAATTTGGGATGGTTTTAACCTGTCTTTTCTATTCAATAACCATTACTAACTCATTAAAGTTTCAAACATACAGAACATTTTAAAGAATAGTGCGACAATCATCCTACCATTCAGAGCCTATTGTTGACATATTTCCATCTTAAATTTATCTATCTGTGTATATTTATACACACACACACTTTTATTTTTTTACTTTTGTTCAATCATTTGGAAGTAAAATGCAAACATCATGACATTTTCCTGCCAAATACATCATCAAGTATCTCCTATGTCACTACAATACCATTATGACTAAGAAAATTCTCTATCATCATCTAGTATGTAGTATAAAATATTTTCTAATTATCTACAAAATGCCTCCTAAGGCTATTTTTATCACCATGTTCACACATTGCATTTTATTATGTTTCTAATCCCCACTACCCCAATGGTTTTGATTTCTTTTTTTTTCTTTTATGTATTTATGGTAAATATTTGTGATAATACTGAATTTGTTGAAGGTTAAATTATGTTTTCAAATTTTTTTCCATTCTGTTGTTTTTTTCTAATTATTGTTTTTTTTTTTTTTTT